TATATATATATATATATATATATATATATATATATATATATATACACACACATATATATACAAGTTTAGAATTATAATCGAAAACCGTTCGAACAACTAACCTCTCCTTTTCGTTCCACGCAACGAAACTTACAATACGTTTACAATATGTATTCGAGAATTATTTACCTTTCTAAATAATCAATTATGTATTGTCGCTCGCAGAAAAGTGGCGGGGGAATATCAAATCGTTCAAAATTTATTACGCAACGTGATTAACCGCTAGAGGCGCGCTATTCATCCGTGTTCAAGCGATCCTATCTTACGCGTCTTACCCACTTACTTTCACACCACCGAATAATCCTGACCTTTTCAGTTTTCCCACCAACTCTCGGTCAACTCTCCGTCTCCTCCCCTCCCTCTCCACCGCGTTCAACCGCGTTATTTTGAAACACGCGCGGATAAGTGATTTTCAATGATTCGATTGCAGACGACCCATCTCGAGACGCGTCGCCCCGTCCGTCCACGATCGATTGCTCAATTGGCGAGCAAGACATCCTCGCGTATCCTCGCGTGTCCAGCCCCGGCAGGATAGATGGTACGTACGGTTTTCGAGAGCGTACGAGGCTGCGTGGGATTCGCGGAGCAAATGGAACCTGCCCCACCTGGGAGGCGAGGCCTGCGATTCTCGATTCTCGATTCTCGAAGGGGCACACACATGCTCGCCTTCGTTCCCCTTCGTGCCGCTAAGACATCGGGATCTCCTTCACCGTGGTCCTCAAACGAGCCTCGCTCTCCGCCAGGTACACATCTCTCGCCACTCACGCACTCTCGCCGTAAGTCCCCTTTCGCGTATCTTATTATTTCCCGCGCCACGTGCCTCTTATCTTCCTTCCACACTCGCCTCTCCTCGCTTCGATCATCGTCGCGCGATTTTCGTATCTCGCGTCGTCTTTTCGAGTCGTTTCTACGAGTCGTTCGCAAGGTGAACCAGTGTTTGTACGTATTTCCAATGGCGATCGATGATGCTCGTTTTCACCGCGTTTTCTGCAAATCGATACCTCCCCACGACCAAAGAGGAAACGCGCGAAATGACATTCTCACGGGAAACGAAACGTTCTTCTCTCCCCGTTTCGAACCTTTCACTTCGACCTCTCAACCTCGTCTTCGCGGAATCCTATTTACTCATTAGCCGCGATTTTCCCCAGGACAAACAAACTCAAGAAGCTCGAGAAGCAAAAAGGCAGAGAGAGAGAAGGAAGAAAGAAAGGAAGGAAGGAAGGAAGGGAGCAAAATGAGGATAACTTGCTTACTCTTTGGCCTCTCGTTGCTGTTGGCTTACGTGAACTCCAGTCCTATCGTGAAGAGGGAAACGGAGCCCGTGGAGCTCAATCCATTGAACGAGGTAAGACGTTCGAATTCTCGAATTCTCTGTTTCGAACTCGAGAGGGGAGGAGTATAAAGTCCCACGAAATCGTAATGTTCCGTAATAGGGAAGGAGGGAGGGGATCTATTAAAAATCGTGAAAGTGAAAGCGCCCATTTCGAAGTTTTATTACCTTACACCGTGTTAGAAGCTCGACAGTCTTTACGTGGAAGATCGTCTAATATCGGGTCTACGATCGCAAGATGCGTCAGGAAAGGAGACACGAAGAGACGAATCGAGAAAAGAGAGAGAGAGAGAGAGAAAGAAGGAGGCGAAGAAACGAGCGAGGAGTGAAAGTGGTTGACTTAACTTGAACGAACACAGACACGCGAAGCCGGATAAACGCGTAACTGAAATTCTGATCCGTGGCACGTGGCCGTACGCAACGTTCGCCTCGCTCTTTCTCCCTCCTTTCATCCACCGTTTATCGTCTGTAATTAGCGTCGTAATCACGTTCGGAAATTAGACGAGATATCCTCGATGACCTCGAGGAGGTCTCGCTTAATTGCCGTTTACGAGGGATTAAACGAGAGCTCCTCGACAATCCTCGTTTTCGCGTAATTGTCGTTTACGATCAATCTGGAGATTGAGCCGAGATAGAGACGACAACTGCTCGAGAGGCTTTCGTTTTGTAATCGTCGTTTAAGAATTAAATGAAAATTCTCTTCGTTGATAGAGCGAAGAATATTTGTAATAGTTACGAATAAAATTATTTCAACTCAATTTATCTATTTTTTGTTCATTATAATAATCGCGGATAATTGCCAGATGGTGGTTATAAAAGCGAATATTATTTAAACATTTTAATAAGTAAATTACTTAAAAGTTCAGCCCGCAACTCTGAAATTGCGGCAAGAAAAAAGTTTCAGATCTTAATCTTTACTTTCTTTCAATTAGATATACGTAGTGGAGGCCGAGGATGATCTCCGAGGGGACGAGGAGAGGGCCGACAGGGACAAGAGGAAGATCGCTGTGGCGAAGCTGGGTGTATCCAACGGCATAATCAACTTCGTCTTCAACGTAAGATTCGCGTGATGAAATATTACATGAGAATAACCCGTGTTGATATTCACTTTCGTTTGCAGAAGCTGGATTCTTTGATCGACGCGAAGACGAAAGCTCTCACCGACCTGGACGAGACGAACAAAATAAAGAACAAGGCTTACGGAATCGATGTGAACAAGTCGGCAACCAGCAAGTTCATCGGCGAGCTGGTGAACGCGAAAATTCAATCCGCGACAGGAAGTATCGGGCCGGTGGTGAGCACGGCCCAAAACTTCTTCTCGAACACGAAGAGCGGATTGACGAACGCGTTCGTCTCGAAGTTGGCCCCCCTCAGCTCCATCGCCACCGGTTTGAGCTCTCCACCCTCCAATGGTAAGACGAGAATATCCTCCGAGAAATTGCGTTTAAAATTTTCGAATTTATTTTATCTTATATATAATCGATAATCGTTTTTCGTTTTCAAATTTATTAGGGGACAACAAGGAGAATCTCGATACCAAAGCGTCGAACGCGTTCAACTTTCTAGGAAACATTTTGAACGCCCAGCTTGGCGCGTTGTCGAACTCGAAGGGTCTTTCTAGCGATTCAAGTTTATCCGAAGGGGTACGATAATAATAACTCTTTCTCTTCTTCACGTTTTTTTCTGTCTTTCTATTTCTATTCCGTTTCGTGATTCTTACCTTATTCACTCTTTCTTTCAACAAGTACGTTGCTCGTAGTCGATCGAATTAACCAGAAACCTGCGACGACTCCTTCCAATTGCTTCTTTTTCCAATCTGATTGTGTAAAATTGTCGCTTGCCACGGATGGAATGGAAATTAAGAAAAGAAAAAAAACTTTCGTTAAACGTTCCGTTTCTTCCCCTTTACTCGTCGTAAACTTGCATGCACCGCATTTGTCACGTGTCGTCATTCGCAAGAGGGAGCGAAACTTTGCTTGCTAAACTTGTTTGGCTTGAAACAAAGAGATCCTTCTAAATTTTTTGTTTGCATGTAGAAAACTTTCGCCTTATTATGTCGAATTAACCCTCTCACGAGAATCGTTTGGAAAATCAATCCAAACGATTGCAATACTCGTTCAAACTATTACCTAGCTATTCTTTCGTCGGGACCGAGGTAAACACGCAAATTAAAATGAGAACATGTTGTGCATAAACAGTACGATTACGGTTCGCCGCAAGGGGAGCCTTATACGGTTTAAAAAGCGGATGCGGTGCAAACGAGGACGTTGGATTCAACGCTTTGGACGCGTCCAAAGGGGATGTATCATCAAGCAGCAACGCTTAAGAGGATCCTAAGGGCGACTAAACGCCTATTTAAAACCAAAAAAAAAGAAAAAAAGAAAAAAAGAAAAAAAAAAAAGAAAAAAATAGAAACTAACTAACGAAAGAACTCTATCATCACGCGCATTTGTAACATTCCCGTAGATTAGTAGTACTGTATGGATTTTTCTTTTTAGCTCAACCGATAAATTGCCAGGATCTTCTCCTCCCCTTCTGTCAGTGACAAACCCACCCACGGTAATCTAAACGTTTAGAGAGACACGCAAGAAATCTTCCTCTATCTCGTCACTCTTGTTCGTGCTAAAACCAACGAGAAGTCCCTCCCCCCAACGTTGAACGAACCATCGTTGTGCGACAAATGTAAATAATATTTGTTATAAGAGTAGTTTCTCGATCACACAGCCGCGTGTCTCGATCATCATGTTTGTAAATTCATGGATGTAAATAGGGTATAGTATCTTTATTAACCTGATATTAAGTATAACAATCACCAAGGATGGCCATAATTAATGGTTTTTATTGATATTGATGATGATATTGATGTTAAATAAAATCACGATCACGTTCTTTTTCCTTTCTTTTTTTTTTTTTGTTTGTCTACGAATCGAATATCTGAATATCTTTTTCCAATCGTACGTCCTGTATCCTTTTTCTGTCCTTCCCCAAAGATATACAGGATAGATTTTAATTTACGTATCAAATTTATATTTATACAAATATAAGAATATAATTCTTTTTTTTTTTTTTCGATATTATTATTTCTTCTCGAGATCTTTATTTCCTCTTATCTCTTTTCGATGAATTCGATCAATCATGCGCTAATTGCACAACGATACAATTTTAAATTATTACACGGCGTACCAATATTGATTTTTTCGCACGCATGATTGCGCCAAAGCAATAATCGCGTTCTCTAATAAATATGTTATAGAAACAAGTTCTCGATCGAAAAAAATAAACGTATCATTCTCTCTTTCTCTCTCTATCTCTATCTATGTCTCTCTCTCTCTCTATTCTCGATGTTGGCAACACCGAGCTACGCACGAGTGTTGCGAAAGGCGAACTGTCATTGGCTATTTTTTTTTTTCTTTTTATCTATGTCCAGATCTCGACCACGACGGAGGATATCCCCGAATTCGATAGAACGAAGGTGAACTTGGACATACCCCCAGTCGTGTTCGGTAGCGGTTTCACCACTATCACAAATATCAGCAAAATCCTGAGCAACGTGATCACCGTAAGTCCGAGCGAAAACTCGTACAAAATTAAAAGATATCGAGATCGATGTTATTATATTGTCTCGATTATATACACGAGTATAATTTGAACTCGGGACAATACTTTTCTTTTTTCTAATTTTTTCTTCCCCTTCTATGGCAGATCGATTCGTTACGTTGCAAATGTGTCACCCTTCACTTTATTGCAAAATTAATCCGGTTTTCCACGATATACCTCTTTTTTGCGCGCAATCAAAATGATTTGTATATAATAATATGATTAAATCGATCGAATTTCGACGAAGAATGATTCTTTCTTTTTTCACGCGTTTCAGAACTCGGCCCGTCGAACGCAAACGTTGCTAGAGGTGTTCAAACCGTTCTTCCGTGGAGTTTTCGCAATCAAAGGCCTTCCTTCGGATAATCACTAGAAGATGGTCCACTGGAGAAGGATCATTGCGGTGCTAGGATCGACTGCCATTTCACCGAGGATTTCCATCAAGAGTCTCCTCCTGTTTCGAGGGTGCTGAGGAGGAATCGAATGGGATCCGTGCCAAATAGCCTGCGAATAATAGTCTAGATAGAATACGAATTTTAGGACAATGCGACGATCGTAATCAATCGTGTTGCGTAGTTAAAGGTGATTGTTAGAAAGGGGGAATCATTTCTGTATATCGCATCCCTTGCGCCAGAACCACGAAATTTCCTCTTTGCGCGTGAAAATATTTCTATTCGAATATTTATTAACTTATCAAATTTCCTCAACAATGCGTCGAAAATCTCGATCATTTTATATACAAATTATCGAATAATTTCGTGGTTCTGGCGTCAGCTGCGTGAAATATATAAATATTTATGCGGCCTCTGTGCCGTTCACGGGTGATCAAACTTGTTGTTTCCTTTCGTACGTAAATTCGTTGCCATAAATTGCGACAGAACTGTTTGCCAGAACTGTAGCTCGCGTGCCGTGAAATGTACGTACAACGATGTAATATTTTTACATCACTGCTATTTTAACCATAAGTGTAAAGTTCGCTCGATGGTGAAAATGAACAAGGTGTTGCTTGATTTAGAACTTGTTAATTGTGTTTTCGATGAACGTATGTAAAATAAACGTGCGAACATATCGAATCGATTAAATTCTTTACTTCCTATGTAAAATACCATCGATGTGATTTCCTTTCAAAAATCTTTTTTCTTTTTTTTTTTTAGATGAGATGAAGTAAGCCCGTCGTAAAAATTAATCTATTCAATAGTAAATCCCTTCTTGACTTCTGCTTGGATGAAAAGAAACTTTGTTGCGCTATCTTGAATTGCGCAATGTTTACGAATCGAATCGTAACATTGTCGTAACATCCGCGGATCGGATTCATTTTGACTGTCGTCGAATAATTAATATCAATTGGCCTGGTTCAAGTTTGGAAATCGTACAAGGAATTTATAAATACGTAAAACTTGTATTTTATTTCGCGTTAATCGTGATTTCTAAATGATGATATTTTTGTTTATTATGCTGTGACATTTGATATTTCTAAAAGTTACTTAATGAATTACTTAATGAATTTCTAAAAGTTACTTAATGGATGAATAAATGAAACTGTAATATCCTTTTGCTTAACTTATCTTAAAGTATCGATCGTAAGTAAAAAATATCTCGTTATAAAAATATCTTCGCAAGTATTTTTGGATATTCGATTTAATTTATTTATTTATAATCGATTAACGTTATATCTTTATTCTCATTGCAGACATTCAATTGCATTCAATTACATCTTCACGTAACGATGTTATTGATTTGCACATTTTGTAATTGCAATAATACCGCGGTGACGAAAAATCGACGAGGCGATAATTACCATCGATTAATCATTCTTTCAGACTTCCGTATCCGGTGAAAGTTTTATTTTTTCGAACGAATAACAATTTATCCTATCGAACGAGAAACGAAAGAAAAATTAAATAAAAACGCGATTATTCGATCTGGCTTGCCCCCGCGAACCAGCTTCCGGTCTACCACAATTATGCAACAGTGCTTGACGCAAGTATGCAAAATATATTAAATACGCGACTCTTGTATGTTTGAGAAAAGAAAACACTTCAAAGTGGAAAAGTGTTTTCTTTGAGATTTATCTATGAATCTACAAAATCTGTCTACAAAATCAAAGAAAGGTATTTAAAAAAAAATGAAAAGATGGCTGATTACACGATGGCTTCTTTCCCTTCTCCTTCGTATAAAAATATTTAGTATCTGAAAGTAGAACTTTTTTATAGTATAATGGAGTCGCACGATTGCGTAATCGTAAGTATGGCAACGCGAAAAGATGCACGCGACCTAGTTCTAAGTATCCAAAGATACCAATGAACGATTAATTATCATACGTGGCGCGTTCCACTTTCTTAGACGTTATTGGCCACGCCGTTTCTTGCGGTCAACGGATGCAAAAATGATCGGTATTATTCACCGCTTATTTTATGGGCGAAGAAAAGAAAATTCACGAGAAAAAAAAAAAAAGGACGGCCGTCATAATCATAATTTATGGTCGTCTGAATAATCGGTGTCTAAGCAAAAAAAAAAAAAAAA